ATATTTCCTTCCGGAGTTGGTAACGTAATGTCTCACCTCTTCATCCGATCTGCTCTGTAGAGGGGCCACTGGGTGAAGGTGGGTATTGCAGTTTCTGAATATATGGCTTTGAAAACCTGTCAATTTGGTAGCATTACTGTAAGACAAAAACAGCAAGGGGATCCTACTAGAAAAACAGCATGATTTTAGAAAGAATCTTTTGCGAAAGTGGTACGCTCCCAAACAAATCATAAACCATAAGAGTTTCAAATAGCATATGGGGTACAGAAAAATTAGGGAGTAGGTTTTCACATGTATGTAAAATGTGTTTTGTTGTCTACTGAGTGACTGCACTTATAGAGGTACTTATTCAGAACACAGACTGAGCCCTGACGTGTCAGCTGGAACCCAGGCTGTGTTATTAGCCAGCTTGACGGAGACTCTTTAAGTGGTGGCGCACAGTTGGCTGAGCACTGCTGGAGCTGGGGGGGCTTGGATCACTCACTTCGCATCAGTCTCTGAAAGCAGCAGGTGCGAACCCCTCCCTCCCTGAGCAGAACGAGATAGACTCTCACATGCCAAGAACCCTTTGAGGATACAGTTACTTCCAGAGAGGGATAGCGTCTTCCCCTCACAACAGGCAACCTTTTTTTTTGTCTAACAATTTATGCTCATGAGGAATGACCACAGAGAAGAATCAGACACATCTGAGCAGGTTTATGGACCTGTTATCAGATGCGCACAGAGAGACATTTATAGGCCATAAGAGGAGGAGACAAGGTCAACCTCGTAAAAAGTCAGGAGTTAACCAAGGCGTAGCTGCAAAGATGGAGATCGGGGGAAGGAGAGATGCACAAGACATACAGCAAGGAGAGACTGGAATATGAAATGTACAGCTCTGAGTCATAACATCGGAAATTCTGATGATTTAGTACAGCTGGGAGGAAAGTGGCTTGGTTGGCGTCATCCCTCTCAAGATTCAGTTAAGAACTTCCATATATATATTTTAAATTTCGGAACAAAAAAAACCCCCTCATTTGAACAGCCCCCACTCCAAGTCCCCCCCACCGATAGTTTAATCTCCCCCCAAGTTGTGAAATATAGATCTTACCATGTCAGCAGCACTACGCCAAGCCCCTCACATCTCCCTCTTGGTGCCATTGGCCTGAGATTTAGAGAGCTCCATATAATTAGAAAGGGAAATCACAGGCTCTCAGCAAGCATCAGCATTTTTAGCGGCAGTCAAATTAGCGGATTCGATCCATTTCTTTTGCAAGAGGAGTTATTGTTTAAAAAGAATACTAGGTGAAAGGAATATACTGTACTTAGAGTAGTCTACAAAGAAGAATCCTGGTTCCAAATTGTACACTCTGTGAGGTTAACTGGGTGAGTCAATTATTGGGATTTTTGGAAGCAGAATTTATTTTGTCACAGATTCTGTTCCAGGAAATGTCTTCTTACTGTATGTAGTATTCCTATGCCGGTTCCAAACACTGACAGCTGTTGAAGTCTTGTACGAAGCCTCTAACAGAAAAACTCTAAGGATTTCTTTGTTTCGCCCCTGAAACCCACCAGATTCTGCACTGGACTATAGGCAAGCATTGCAGAATGGAGATGTAACTCGAAAAACCCACAAAAAAAAAAGAGTCAGGAATCCAGTACTGAGCTACGGTACCAAGTCCTATTACAAGCAAAGACCATCCTCATTAAAATACATCAACTAGAACTTCTCCAGAGTCGGTTAGAGAAAGGGTGACTCCCTTTACAGAATATTTGGTTATAAAAAACATATCTTCAGACTTCATAAAACTTTTTACTGAACACATAGCTGTAATCAGGTACCTAATTTCATCCATTCATTTCCTAACTGCTTTATCCAATACAGGGTTGCAGCAGAACAGGAGATCCAAGGAAACAACGGGCACAAGGCAGAATACACCCTGAAAGGCACATGTAAATTATTATAGGCCCAAATTTCAATCTATGGTGTCTAAGGTGCACACTAGCACAAATTAAGCTGAAGTCTTAAATGGAGACAAAAGAAGATCTAGATTATCCGGATGTCAACATACAGGAATGCTAGGATTAAACTAAACAGACGGTGCTCATAAAACTCAGAAGTAGAAATAAAATCAAATATTTAGTAGAGCTAAGCTCCCTTCAGGAATATTACGCTGCCAGAGTGGAGAATTTAATATGCAGTTGCTTCCCTTTCCACATGTATTTAAAAGTCTGAGCATGCAATCTTTCCCAATCAGCTAAAGAGAGAAAAACAGGAATCGCAGAACTAAAAGAAAATTAAGCGAGAAGAACATTCATTTAAATAACGTATATGATAAGCTTCCGTGCATATGGGAGCCTGAGGAGAACTGGTAAAGTCTGTCCATCTGTTCAAATCGGCACATACCTGTTTAAAAATATTATTTAAGTTGTTTATTGTGATGGCGTGTAGCAACAGGAAATCTTCTCACACGCGACGATTCTTTGGAGAAATTTACAGGTCTTCTGGGACGCTCCATTGAAATCCTCTCAGCCAAGGAATGGTTCCTCTTGTTCAATCCCCTCCATTTCCTCCAGGGTCACTGAGGGACTGCAGGACTGTGGCTACAGGCTGAGGGGCTTATCTCACTGCAGAGAGAGCCCCTCTCTCCATAATCCTACCCAGGCCGACCGACAGCTCAAAAAGACTAAAGTACTGGCACATCCCTATCCAGAGCTACAGATACATGCAGGGAACCCTACAACATTGAAATGTGCAAAGAGAGAAACGTCACTTCAAGCACGTCTCACACAATCTTGGAGGTTGCAGGGACAAACGTACCTCAGGCAGAACTTCCACCTGAGAAACTTGGCTTTATATCTATTTAAAGTGTGCTCCAGACGGGTAAAACAATTATACACGGGTGTCGGACAGGCTATTATGCATCTAAGCTACACTTCAATTAAAATTCATTCACCCACATTCCAAATTCACAAGTAACATGCTAGATCTGAGAAAGGTTCACTCCTCATTTTTGAAAGACTGATTGGTTCCACCTTGAAATCAGAGGAAAAAAAAACCTCTCTGGAGCATTTCTCTGTGTCCTTTAATCTAAGTATGAGGCCGACTCAGAAAGGGGTCAGGTGGGTTAACTGGAGTCATCCTTTTACAGACTCTTTGCAGACTGGACGCAGTTACAGGGACAGCAGGAGCAACCACGCTCTAGGAGTCTTAAAAATAGAGTTTGCTCTTCCCACTGGGATGGCGTTGGGGGGCCCTGTGGCCAGGCGGGTTCAGTCCAGCCTGGAAAATGGAAGCACTCCGTTCTCATGACACCTGACCCTGCGCACATCCTGTCCCCTGCCTGCCGGGGAACGGCTGGGGATCGAGTGGGATCGGAGGAAGCCGAGGGGCCGTGCTCCCCAAGCCGCAGCCCTCTGCAGGAAGACTCTGGGCGAAACGTTCCTGCACATCACTGCGATACTCATTAGCGGCACCACGACTTGGTTTTTGGAGGTTACCGTCTCACACCAAAGAAAATTCCTGACCGCAAACAATAACAAAAATAAAAAAAAGGCAGCGCAGTGTTCGATTTGATGAAATCCCACCAAATGGCCCGGACTGTATCCTTAATGAAGCTGTTTTGATCATCAGAAGCCCTCCAAATCTGCTCTATGTGGTATGACAACAGGAGAAACAACACGAGAGACCCTTTGGTCCCAGGGCTGTTGTTAATCTGGTGTATTTTATTTGGCATGCCAGCATCCCTTATTTTTCTAATACTTTGATCCAAGAGATTCTGAAAAAAATGAATTAGACTAAAAAAAAAAAAGTTTGACTAATTTAAATGTTAGCTGTGCCTTCTTCCAAATAGAGCTTAGTCATATTTAATAGATTCCCATATGTCCACCACATTGATCAGTATATTACCTCATTCTTTTTACCACAATTACAGTATGTCCATGTCACTCAATTAGATTGCTTAACAAAGGTTATTATAGGCTATTCCAGGTATGCATTTTACCCTAGATATGCTAGGTTCCATTCTGACAACAAACCAAGAAGTGTCTTTGATGGTGATATGGTGCTCGTATTCTGTTTTACGGAGTATAACTGTGTAATCCTTCTGAACTGGGTAATGTCTAATGTATGATCCTTGTCATTGAGAACATTTGTCACATACCTGTTCCGTACATCCCAATGGCTCAGGCCACCAGAACATTGCAGGCTGCAGGACACACTCAAACCAGGGCCAGTTTTCTCAGAAACCAATTAACCCACTAGTATGTGGACTGTCCAAACCAGAGTACCCAGAGGAAACCCACACAGACATGGGGAGCACATGCAAACTGCACGCTGACATTACCCCAGGTCCGGAATTGAGCCTGGAGCCCTAGTGTCATAAGGCAGCAATGCTAACTGCTGTGCCACCCATTTGAAATTCACAGTTTCACAAAAAAGGACAATCTCACAGAATATGATCATGAATGGAATATGATACAGCACGCAAAGGTGGTGACTTTTTCTGCATGAAAATGTTCTTTACCAAATATTAAGCAAATATAACTCATTCAAACACTTACCTTAAAACACCCAATTTTGACTCAATCATAAAAGTCAGAATCATTACTTATTTGATCTTACCCACGTGTAAGAACACGTTTTAAACACGTCAAAAACATTCAGTATCAATAATAACATTCCAGAAATTTGGCAACAGAAATCCTAGCACTTAAAATTGAAAATTAAAATACAGTAAGTTACTTGTAACTAGGTTTAACAGATAAAATGGTAATATTTAGTTCAAATTGTGTGCAGATTATCTATTTTTATAAACAGATAATATACATACAATTTCATGACTTTCCCAATGCTCAACAATTTCATCAGAAAAAGCAAAGGGTATCGTGACTAAAAAAGATCAGAGCACTCTTTAGAGGTTCTAGAGCTAATAAAAAAGATATATTAAAACCACTTCAGATGTGAAATCCACAGGTGCAATATTTTATCAACACTACAAATAAACAGCTCAACACCTCCATCTGCTGGTCAGTATATTCTCTGCATTTATTAGTTAACACTTCAGCACTTAGTATTTAATCACTTTTAATCACTACAATGACTGAGAGAAATCAATACAACATTGTCCTGTCCACTAAAATATTCCTTTGGCAGCTGCAATTTTCTTTGGCAACCCCCAGTTTAATACTGTTCAAAGGTAAAAGTCAAAAGATGAATTTATATGAATGGCATGGCATGGCAAAAATCAGTTTGTGGCGACCTCATCACACATTCAACATTGTGTGTTCCTTTAACTGCAGAGTACTGTGGGCTGCCCCTTATCATGCACATTCAGTAAAACTTGAAAACGTTTCCCTGCACAGAGGTTTAATGTCAGCTTTTTTGCACTTTCTGATTGCAGTACGTTTAATTAATAATAATAATTCTGCAGTTACAGTATACCGTGACACGCATGGGGAAAAAAACAAACGAAAGGAAACCCAAAGAAGATCTTGTGCTTCTTAATTAATGGAAGCCTGTCATTTTAATACAGGCTTCGGCCCCAAACCAATACCTGGATGTGATCTAAACATAGCCTTGCACGGAATTCCAAAGTCCCATGCTAGCAAACAATACTACGGGTCTTCCTTAAATAAAGGGGTGACAATAAATATAGAATCTGACGTGTTGAGCAGCAGCACCAGCGGGCGGCTAGTGCTCTGTGCCTCTGACCTCAATCAGAGAGGTTCCTGGCCTCTTTTGTTGTCTCTTTCCTGTTCTGTGCAGCTGTTTCCACACGATGCTTCTCTGACATTCAGCCAGCAAATTAGCACACAGAATGCATGGCTGCCGTTCAAAAATACACCGTTTCCATTTCACCACTCAGATCCTTCTCTTATTAGTGTGCTCAAGTCCCATAAATCAAAAGACATATCTTGTAGAGATCTTCCACTGCATGTCCCATTGTCCCTGTTTATTTTGGAAGTGGTGGTGCATACATTTTACTCTACACATCTATTTCCTACCATGCCCTGTGCTGAAATACACAGTCCTGAGATTAGGAAACGCTAAAACCAAGATTTAGATTCATTAGGCTGGCTTGCCAGTGCTTCACAGCATGACGGCACACCTGACTGGAATAGAGTCCCTCTGATTTTTGGAGAATCTTCTGTGTTCGGTACGTCCACGCGGTCTGGTAATTCTGTCTGTATTACCTTTGTCCAAGTGGATTAATTGAAGATGGAGTGGAATTAACCTGTGCAGCTCATTCTCCCACTTTATGTACTGTAGATATACAGTAAGACTGAAACGAAGCTCAGCCCAGTCTGTAGCAGGTCCTAGAATCACTGCAGATCAGGGGTCGAGGCCCCTAAGTAAGTACGTAAGTCTGTAATGGTTGATTTGACAATTTTCGCCGGTATAGTCTCCATGTTTAATCGCTGATAGGCTGCAAACCTATGGCAGCCCCCGAATGAATAGAAGTAGTCGCCTCCTCTTCGGCCCTTAATCCACAGCACATCAATCGGAGGGACGCAGTGCACCGTCTTAGGTTCCTACAACATCATATACAGAAAGACGGAGCGACAATTGTTCATTCACTGTCAAAAATTTATTTAAAAAGGAGAATGTGCAGGAGACAAACGGTGAAAGTGATAGAAAACCACTGTCATCTGCCACTGCGTTATCAAAACAGAACTAAAACATAGTCATCTATATTTTCATCGTGAGCACCATTTGCATGTAAGTACTGTATTACATCGGCAGATTCCGCCCCTTGTCTTCCGTGTGGGTAAACTGCGCTCTGCGTAGTAAATGCAAGAGACGTGCAATTTGCACACGGGCAATATGATCCGCCTCCTCTTAGTTTTGAAAGTGGGGAGTAATTTTAAGTACTCTAAAAGTTTTTTTTTTTTACAAATCACCAACTTTGTACTGTCAAACAAAGGTAATGTCTTAACATAAATCATTTCAGAACTTTTAATTCAACATTGCATTTAGATGCTACCCGCTGATACTGTAAAACGAAATGACACTACCTTTATCTTATGCATCAGACTCTGCACTTTCTCCTCATCCAGAACCGGCGGAATGGGTCGGATAATAACCTTCATGGGCACGTTATGGACTTCTTCAATGCTGTCCGAGTGTATCGACTTGTTTTCATTCCTCTCGCTATCCATTCGTCCCTGTTCAGCAGTCAATAGTTTTGTAGAAAATAAAATGTTTCTGTTAAACTCCGCTATGTTACATCTTATCCTTGTAACAACTGCGAACATCTCGGTTTGACAGAGTCAGTGCGGTTCCGAAAACAAGGAAGTGTTCACTTCACAACGCAACAGGACGGAACCATTCGCTGGAGGAGTTGTTGCCAAGTTTTATCCTCAAAATGACCGTATTGGAAGTATTGGAGCCTAAACAGAAAGTGTATTTATTCTGTGTAATTCACACACCTAGTGTATGTTTTATCCGAATGTCTATTATTTAAAGTGATAAAAATCATAGTACAGTAGTAAACGGTGGAATATTCCATTTGACCCATAACTTGAAATATATTACGGTCCGGTATTGGGTGACTGTTCTAGCTAAGTGACTGATTTCAGCTAAGTTCTGTATGTTGCTCTTGAAGAGTTATTTCACCTCCGTTTTTAAGTATTGTAATTTTAAAGTGTACATTAGATATTCATAGGCAGTTTGCGCTGAAGAAAATGAAGGAAGATATTGCGCAACACCTGAGTGCACATTTCTCAGGCTGGCCCAGAAATGCTTAGTCACAATGATTCATGAGTTTTAGAATAATAAGGTAGTTATTATAAAACCTAGGTTACTTTTCAAACCGGAAATGGCCAACCTTAACACACATGCACCAGGTGGCGATGTTGTGTTCATTCTTACCCCTCGGCTGTTGCAACAATCTGTTAAACCCTGCTGAATCACAGTGATGTGACCTGGATGTTAACACACGATTGTTATCCTGATATAACATTTCCTAGTCCTGACTGTATGGACCGTCTTTAGGCGGCAAGCTTGATACTGCAAAATACTTCTGTTCCATTTATTACATTCAAGGGGCAGGTAATTTAAAACTAACTTTGAAATATGGATCTTCGACTAGAAACTTATGGCACAACGCATACACCCTAGAGATAACTTACCCTACACTTGCTCACTAATGAACACAGGGACAAAGTAGTATGTTTACAGACACTACTTACCTAGCCAGCATGACTTACGGAGGTCGAAGCAAACAGGAGCACCCACAAATTACCCAAACAAACACAGGGGGACATACAGACTCTACACAGAACGAGCAAAACCCTGGAATCAAACTCTGGACCCAAGAGCTGCAAGGCAACAGTGGGTTCCAGGAGAGCATGTGAATCTCCTCCTCAATTGCAGGAATTACCCTCAGAAATTCTATTCCCTGTTCGAATAGTTGGGTGAACTGGAGCAACTGGGGATAAAGTACTTCAATCAAGGTAAAGTCACAACCCACCAGTTATGAGTCACTGCACTATTCTGAGTCACTGCACTAATAGGAATTGAATGAATGTATTTTCTTTTGGTTAGATTCTATTTGGATGCCTTTTAAAATCCAAACCATTACAGAGTGTGTATGTTCTGCTGTCATTTCCCTGAGCAGAACAGAGTTATCTATATTGAATTTAGATCTCATCTTATTCAACACCCACTGTATTTACATCTACTGCATCTTAATGTTTCAAGAAAGTTTACTAAAAGTTGTTTCAATAAAAAAGTGTTTACTGTGAATTTTCTTACAATCAGATTATGTGCAGTGCAAAACAAGAGAATAAATATGAAGGCTCAGCATCACTTTTTAGAGCATTTCACATTTTCCTTAATCAAAACTATAAATTGTGTGGAGAAGCCTAACCCTGGACAGAACCTTTGCAAAGTAAGTCAATGCGATTCAACACATCTCCAGTCAACAGTCTTAAGAACAAGAATTCTGATGAGGGCTATTTACATTTCATAGGCTGGGTACATTGCTTTTCTCATTAAAATTCAGTAATTAGAAATGCTGTTGAAAAAACAGGAAAAAAAGAAAAGCCTAATGAACCAGCAGGCGATGAGATTCTTTTATAGGGACTTTTTTAGGGGAAAAGGGGGTGGTAAAGAGGGTTATTTTTTTTTCCTTCAAAGGAATTTCTTAGCAGTATGTCCTATATTTAGAAGGAATTCAAAGGAATGAGAATGTTGCCATAGAAACGAGAGAAAGTCTGGGCCTACTGTTAGAATCAGGTAACAATTAACTCATCTTGGCATCAAAGACACCAGATCTTAACAGGAATACACTCCTAAGAAGAGTAAAAACTGTTTGTTTTCTCCATGGACAACGCTGAGTCCTAATGAGGCACTTTGCACATCTTAAATCAATGCTGCAGCTAGCCTGGGACAGTGACCCAAAATAAATTACTACACGCTTTTACCCTTCATTGGAAAAATCAAATCTTAGCAGGGGGATAATTTAAAATGCTAAATTACATTAAGGAAGCATTAAAGTAAGGAAAATTTCACAGGTCATGTTTCCTTTCTTGTTTTGTAGATCCCAGATGTCTCCCTGTCAATAACATATGGTGTATGCGAAATCTGGCATTATACTACATGGTATAGAAACTGGTAAGTGCCTTGCAACCAATACTGGGATTGAAATAAACTCCCAAGACAATTATCAATCACCGAAGCCACTTTCTCCACTTGATCACAGGTTTCCATTTTCCACAAGATTCTGGGAGACACCTTCCAGTCCTGGAGTTGGAACGCACAATCGGATTATGGGTTGAAGTATTGATTTAATCAGCACTGATGCTTCTTGCAGAATCATTTCAATGTTTGCTCATCCCTTGGAACCTTAGTGTTCCCGTACTTTTTCAGTGTAATGAGCTTTGAATCAGTCATTAAAGGCAGGCTCAGCATTATTGTATTGCCAGTCTCCTGTTGCACCTTAATCTGCACTGTATGGATTAGTGGTTAGGGCCCTAGCCTCCTGTTTAAAGGGTTGTGGGCACCTAAATAAGCATGTAAAAAGGAAAATAAGTAATTGCAACTTCTGTAAATTGCTTTGGCTAAAAGCATTAGACCCATAAAATAATGCTTGCGTCTCATATATGTACCATGCTAAACATGGGTTTTGTGTCAGTTTAATGAATGCTTCTTTAGTTATGCACATACAGCTTTGAAGAATGAGTGTTTTTCTCAAATGAGCTCTTTCAGCAATAGCAGCTGTGTCTATGTTCTGAGATCTTGATAACTTGGGATCAGTTTCCTTTCATTGGACTCACACCAAGAGCTTCAAATTGCAAATTGCACCTGAAGAACTGAATCCCCCTCATTTCAGTGGAAATATTCCCAGAACAGCTGTGTGCTTATGGCTCCTACATACAGTGAAGAGCAGATCTTCACTGTTCACCCAGGCATTTCAACGCGGAGCTTCATCTGTCTGAAGAAGAATGAAATGAATGTGTCTTACACAATATACCTGCTGCCTTGTCAGGGATGCCAGCTCTTTAGGCATCATCGTGGTGAGGGTTCTGAGACCATGACTGCCTTATTTCAGATCCCACCCTGGACTCACACCAGCAACTTCATTACAGTGTGACTCAGGTAAACATCACTGAATATTGAAATGCAATGTGAAGCCAATGAGTCAGAATTTACCCTTTGACTTTGCTTTTGACACTGCTGTACCTGAGTAGGCTGTAGACTGAATGCTGACTCATATGCGTAAGATATATACATTTCATATCGGGTTGCATGATTTCCCCTTTTCTGACCTACGTGGAATATGCATAACCACTGACTAGGATTAATTGAACTTGAAAACTATTTAAGTGATACAAAATGGCCCAGTTTAGTAAGCAACATTTCTTAAACGTGCGGGCACAGTGGCATAGTGAACAGAGCTGCTACCTCATAGCTTCTGGGGGCATGACTTTGAGTCTGGACTGGGGTACATTCAAAGTTTGCACATTCTCTCTATATTAGTGTGGCTGTCATGTGGGGGTTCCAGTCACCTGCCTCCATCCAAAGGCAAGCCAGGACTAATGCTTCCTGCAGAATCTCAATATTTACTCATCCCTAGGAACCTTAATGTTCCTCTACCTTTTTAGTGGATTGATTCTTGCATCAGTCATTTTAAAGGCAGGCTCAGCGTTATTCTGTTGTTTCTCTGAAGTGCCACTGCAGTGGAGTGGTGTGCTATCCAGGGTCTAGTCTCTACATGGGCCTTGTGCTTCTAGGACAGGGTCCTGGTTATTGGACACTGTCCGCGAATAAGAAATTTCCTGAAAATGGATGGTTTTCTTAAACAATTACACCGGTTTCATCCTTCCATCTTCTAACCACTTAATTCATTACAGGGTGACAGGGGAGCTGGGTCGTGTGCTGGTAAACAACAGGTGCAACCCAGAATACACCCTGGACAGCACAGTGCAGACAGACACAAACATTTACACACTCCCAGCAGGGACAGTTTTCCCAGAAGCCAATGAACCTACCAGTATTTCATTGATGGTGAGAAGAAACAGGGACACTCAGAGGAAACCCACCCAAACATGGGGAGAACATACAAATTCCACACATATAGTACCCCAGGTTGTGAACTTAGAGCACCAGTGCTGTGAGGCAGCAATGCTTACCAGTGTTCCACTGAATATGATAATACCTTTATCAGCAAGTGTATATTGAGAAACACATCATATATTTAAGGACATTGCTGTTTTATTCTGTGCAGCCTAGTCTCTTTTTTTTGTGAACAGGCACTGTTCTGACACATGGTAGTCATGACTAATGTTGTTCAGGCAGTGCCCACTCAAAATGCTACAGCACTGTTGAACCCATTAGCCAAGAGCTCCAATAACCTCTCAAGGCAACAATACAAAAATTGGAAACGAGCTGACACTGTAATGAACTCTGCTAGCTTTAGAGCTTATATCTACCTCCTGGGTGAAGTTTTTGCCTCATTACTTAAGGACTAAGAAGCCATGTGATAAATGATACATCTTAACCTTCCTGTCCATTATTGATTCAAGCAGCTGTATCCCTTCAAACGGTCGATATGGTCTACTGTGTGTGAGAGAGGAGAGGAGCACACTTTTATTTAACAAGCAGGCCATAACTTACCTAGTATGAGTACCAAAAGACTGCAGCTTCATCCCAAGCCAGCTCATGTACAGTGTACATTTATGGAAAAATTCAGACCAGAATTTCAGTAGCTTTAGTGAAAGGATGGTTTTAGGAACAGAGATGAAAGAATGCTTGGCAAAATCTCATTTGATAATTTGAGAAGATATTCGGTGGAATAGAATAGCAGAATTAGGTCCTCCTCAATTGAAGTTACTAATACATTTTGCTACAGCACATCTTACTCGGGTCTTCAGATGGATTTGACCAATCAGGTTCTTTTCCAGCTACAGCTGGCCAATGACATGCTTTCTCAGTTTATGTTGGCCAATCAAATGCTTTTGCAGTCTACTTTGGCCAATAAGGTGCTTTATCAATTTAAGTTGCCCAATCAGGTGCTTTTTCAGTTTAAATTGGTCAAACAGGTGCTTTCTCAGCTATAGGTAAGTTAGTAGCTGCTGACCTTTCCCAAAACAATTTCTGCATTGTGTGGACATTTATATTTTG